CCATAAACTAGATAGGCCAATCTCAATAAATAAGACAAGATGTTAATATGATCTCTTCATATCATGTCTAGATTGTGAAATAAACACTGTGCAATGACAATAATCTAATAAATATTTTTGAAAAACAGAGTGAGATAAATTAAAAAATCAAACCCTAAAATATATATATTTTTAATGTTAATAGTTGTTAGGAGATGATATAAGTAGCCATTGAAAGGTCATTACCAGACCAAAGAATTATTGAAGGTAATTTTACAGATTAAATCAGCACCAAATTGGACAGAAAGATGAAATTAACTTTTCTAATGGTGTGCTGATATTAGACTGTATGCAAACTTTTGAGATGTATAGAAAAGAATAGCTTTAAATCTGTCTTCATATTCTGATTTGAAATTAGCTGATGATAAGTTTTAACATTTATGGAATAATTATTCTAGGTCAAGATGCATGGAAGTGATCTACATTAATTCAATTAATACCAGGTACACTAGGTAGTAGCAAGTGATAGAAATTTATGCAAGCATGAGCATAAGATTATATAATATACTACTACCTTGAAAACAAGTTACACTGGTATTGTGAATAAAAAGTGGTTGCTGTTAAGTGTCGCTGAGTTGGTTCTGACTCATAGCGATGCTGTATAGGGATTCTGAGGCTTTAACCCTTCTCAGGAGCAGAAAGTCTCATCTTTCTCACATAGAAAGACTGGCAGGTTTGAACCGTGTACCTTGTGGTTAATAAAAGGACAAGGCAATTTAATATTATTTCCTAATAATTAGTACCAAGTAGATGGAATAAATTTGGATAATTGTAAAATCAGAAACTTTCTTAGGAAAATTTTATTCACATATTGATTCTCTATATTTTTAGGATTTTTGCCTCTATTTCTGCTGTCCTAATGAAGTTCTTAAGGATGCTTAATTCTACCACAGTGACTGAGTTTCTGCTTACAAGATTTTCTGATGTATGGGAACTCAGAGTCTTGCACGCTTTGATATTTCTACTGACCTATTTGGCAACACTGCTTGGGAACCTTCTTATTGTCACAGTCACCACCCTTGACCAGAGTCTTCACACCCCCATGTATTTCTTCCTTAGGAATCTGTCTTTCCTGGATATGTGCTACATTTCTGTCACTGTACCCCAGGCATGTATTATCTTTCTGCTAGACAGTACGGCAATCTCCATGGTTGGATGTGCAGCTCAGATCTTCCTTGTTTTTTTGTTTGCTTTTGTAGAGCTGCTTTTCCTCACTATTATGGCCCGTGACCGATATGTGGCTATTTGCCAGCCTCTCCACTACCCTGTGATCATGAACCATCAAGTCTGTGTACAGATGTCTCTGGCCTCCTTATTCAGTGGTGTGGTCTATTCAGGATTCCACACAGGCATCACATTCTCTCTTCCCTTCTGTCAATCAAACATTGTCCATCAGTTCTTCTGTGACATTCCTGTTCTGCTAAAGCTTTCTTGCTCTGACGTTTTCATGAGTGAGCTTTTACTTTTTGTGTCTTCAGTTGTGTTTGCAGGTGGCTGCTTTTCCTTAATCATCATGTCTTATGTCCGCATACTTTCTACTGTACTCAAGTTTCCAATCAGAGGAGAGCGAAGAAAGGCTTTTGCCACATGTGTTCCACACATTCTCATGGTGACAGTCTTTGTCAGCTCAGCTGCTGCTGTGTACATGAAGCCAACCTCCAATTTACCTACAATTCAGGACATGATCATGTCCGTGTTCTACTCTATAGTCCCTCCCTTCTTAAATCCTATTATCTATAGTCTTCGGAACAAGCAGATAAAGGAGGCCATATGGAAAATTATGAGTAGCATGCTCTGTTCTGGAAAATGATAAGATAATCATTACAAGACATTGTTACTTTGATGAGACACATTAAGAATACACCTAATGTAGCTTTCTTGTCTATTTCCAAAATTGGTGAACTGACTTGATTTGTCATTAACAGTAACTCTATTATATGTCAGAATAAAACAGTTCATCTGCATGCAGGTATGAATTTCTGTAATACAAAAATGTACATTCACTGCTATCTGAAACAAATTATTAAAGAATTAATTTTGAAATGGTTTTCAATGATAACAAGACTCAATCATACATTTAAAATATTCCATAAATTATGTAATATAGTGTATGTGATCTAGAGATAAAACAATAGTAACAATATTTCCTAAGTAAAAAAGAAGCACCTGTTAGTGTGGTTTGTAAGAGAGAACAATGATACCTTATGTTATACTATATTTCATAATTTGAAAAAACCATTGAAATAAAATAAAAACTGTGTAGAAAATGTAAATCATTTTTTTTTTATATAGAAATCTTAGGCACATAATTACTATTTGTTATTGTTGTGAGCCATTGACTAGATTACAGCTCTAAGTAGAACTGACCCACATGGTTTCCAAGGCTGCAGAAACTTATTGCCACATCTTTTTCCCATGTAACAGCTGACTGGTTGAAACAAATTATTATTATTATTATTACTGTGTGTTGCTGTTGTTGCAGCTGTTAGTTGGCATAGGTTCCATGTCAACTCAGCAATCCTATATACAACAGAACAAAACACTGCCAGGTCCTGTGTCACCCTCACAACTCTTGAATTTGATCACATTGTTATAGCCACTGTAACAATTCATCTCATTGAGGGTATTTCTCTTTTTTGCTAATTTACCAACCATTTTCCACTTTAACAAGCATGATGTCCTTAATTCATACACTGGTTCATTCTGAAAACATGTCCAGATACGTAATATGAAGACTCACCATCCTCACAGCTAAGAAATATTCAGGTTGTACTTGTAAGACAGATTTGTTTGTTCTTCTGCAAATCCATTTTACTTTCAATAATCTTTGCCAGATCATAAGTCAAAGCATCAGTTCTTCTCTGATCATCCTTATTGCTTTTCTAACTTGCACATGCATATGTTGTTTTTGTAGTTAGGTACTCTTGAGTTTATTCCACCTTATAGTGACCCTATACATAGCTGAAGGAAACACTGCAGGGTCCTTCACAGTCATCAGAATTGTTGTTATATGTGAACCAATTGTTGCCATCATGACAATTCATCTCATATAAGGTCTTCCTCATTTTTTCTGACTCTCCACTACTAAGCATTATGCCCTTCTCTGTCGGGGTCCTATGTCGGGGTCCTGCCTCAACAAAGGGGTGCCTCAATGAAGTATGAGTTTCACAAGAGTGGGAGATCTGATAGGAGAAAGATATAGTTTAAACACAAAGAAGACAGACACACAAGTTTAATGCAAGCTGTCAGGCAAGCTAGCATACAGAACTAGCTTAGCCCCAGTCTTTTATTGTCAAAAAAAAGGAAATTGACATGGAAGACAATAATGAAGAAATGTGGTTTAAGACACTAGGTTATTCATGTGATATAGGACACGATGATTCACAGATTTAATCTTACAATATGTTCTGAGTACATCATGATTTTCATAATAATCTAAAATTCTTATTTCTCTGAGAAAAGTTCAAGCAAGCAATTATAGCTTATCTATTAATTCCCTGTTCCTGGTCCTCCTATGTCAATTGAGGAAGCTGTTAATAGTTTAGCTACTAGGGGGAGGTTCAATTTATTCTTGTACATGGACATCAAGGGCTCATGTGTTTAGTTAAAGTTCAAATATGACTGAATAGTTAAATAAGGAGCAGTTCTGACATTCTTCCCAGGTGGCCACCGCCTGCTCCTTAAGACGATCTGTTCCCAGGACCCCACATACTGCCAATACCTTCAAGGTAGTGACATTTACAGTGGAACTATTAAGAGAGGCAATGCATATATTGCCATTATTAGACACCATTTTCTCAGAAGCTACAATCACTGGAATTAGAAGCATAAGGGACAAGTATAGAAATGAACAGTATAAGAGCCAAAGAGAATTGTACAGAAGCAGCCAACCAGTGAGCTTGCAAAAACCTATGCTCCCGAGACATCAGGAGATCACTTCCTCAGCC